ACTAAACTGTGTTCGTTTATGACAGGTTTTGATAATGCCAAACCGCCGCGACATATCGAAGCTAAAGTGAGCAAAACTAAGGCGAAGGAACATGGCATGATGACTTAAGAACCAAGAACCCAGAATCAAGAACGAAGAACTAGAATTGTATTGAGTCGGTCTTAATGTGATCAAGACCGGCACAAAATTCCAAATCTTGGCTCTCTAGGCTTAATTCATAAAAATCTCTTTTACATATTCAAAAATACTTTTCTTAAAGTTTAAACTTGGGTCAAAACACTTGGAGTTCGCCCAAGCCAAAAACCAAGCCATTCGGCGTTCGGCTTTCAGAAACCGGCGTTCGGCTTTCGGTTTTCAGCATCGGTTTTTGGCGTCCGAACCAACCAAGTGGTTTTTAACTTTTTATAACTGGTTTTTACTTCTGGGCATATTTAAATAGTTCTCCAACAAAAACGCCTCAAAAACCACCTTCCGTTTTTGATCGTTTAGTGAAAACCATGCGAAACGGCACGAACTTGGCTAGCCGTGGTTTTCAACTAAATGACGTGGTTTTTAAGATGTTTTACTTGATTTCTTAGCAAATTGCAATAAACAAATGTTTTCTAAACTTGGTTTTTATTTTGGAGAACTTGCGTTTTTGACATCGGCTAACGACGTGATTAAACCAACCATGGTCTGGCTAAACCAAGCCCAACAGCGATGTTGTGGTAAAAGATGAAACATTCCCTGCAAATGGAACTGTCCGAACAAATGGAACAGCAATGCAACAGGTTGGAAAAGGCAATTATGGAGAGGGAAGAAGCACAAAGAAAAGAGATCAAAGAACTGCTGCAATCAGGTCTAAGAGATATTCTAGGAAGTGTCAAAAAAGTGTCATCAGAACGACAAGTTTTTACTGGTCAATGCCTTGCTACTACACCTGATCTCGAAGAAGTGAATGGAGAATTGAAGAAGATCAGGGAGGAGTTTGTCAATGTGAAGGAAATAGGAAGCTTAACATTCGAGAACACAAAGGACATGCCCGGTCTTGCATCCTAGGTAGACATTCTCTCTGCCAGTCATAGCACTTTATATTGCATCCTCCGAAAGATTGCCGAAGCTAGAAATGAGGAAAGATATTACACTAAGCGGAAAAAATACCACATCAAGAAAGATAGAATCTGTATGAAAGGAGGGGACATTGACAAGGGAGTACATTATGCTTCTTCATCTATCCCCAAGCCAGAGTCCAGAATGGAAGAGCTCACTCCTCAGTCTAGAACCGAAGAGTACACTCAAGCTCAAACAAAGACGTATCAATTGCTGAAGCGAGATCCGTATAAAGGGTATGGAGACCCAAACTGGACAGACGTAAAGACAGAAGAAGAGTGGCGAACACAAGGAGGAATAAGACAAGGACAGTGGGTGCACCCAGAAAAATACACCTCGACTAATCTACCTCCATGGAGCAGAGGGCTAGACCCAGCGGGAAAGACGAAACTGATGAAAGAGCTCAACTTGACACTAACAGATGAAAAAAGACACAAGCAAGAACTTCTAAAGGATCTACAATCAATCAGATCAACATCAGAGATGCTTAGAAAAAATAATCCTATACCTCGAAATAATGTTGACGCCATGGAGAAGGCCTTACAAACCATGGTAAGGTCGGCAGGTATTTCAATGATAGATGGAAGAAGTTGCTCTGAGTGTGTCCAATGGTGGATGAATGGCGTACTCGCAGGTCGTGACATCTTGGAAGCATTTGAAAACTATCACAAGGGTGTAATAGAACGAGAGTTCAAACAATGCTTCAACAGTAACTTCCAAATTACAAGGAAAAATGTTAATGCAAACCTGAGGAAAATCAATGGATGAAGAAAACCATAAGAGAGAAGGTATTTCTTAGATAATAGTGTAAATTTTCCATTTTCTTCAACTTATATATGATTCTCATGGTTTGTACGACTCTTATGAATTGGTTGTTGAACTTGTGTGTGATGGACATCTTTGAACTCGAATTATATATGCATGTTGCTTATCTATGGTTATGTGTCTTGCCCTCATCCCTTTTTGTTGCTGCCAAAAGGGGAGAAGTTTTGGCTTTCGTGTATGCACTATTTTAGGGGGGGAGTACTTAAAGAGGGGAGTTGTTTGAGCATGTCCAAAAAGCTCAAAACGAAGCTTGGCTAGTTTGAATGTCAAGGATAAGTGTATTTATCATATTAGACGATACTCTCAAAATACTTTACCTTTTATTTAAAAATGATTTGTACGTAAAGTTTTTAAACAAAAAGGATCAAAATCAGATTTTGGAATTCTACTTAGACAGGCATGCAGCAGCTGTAACAGTAGGTTCCTACCGTTAAACGGTAGTCAGCTACCATCGGAGTGATGGCTGTGTTTTTCACACAGTCTTGCCATGCCTGTAGCGGTACCAGAGCACCGTGACACGGTCGTGATAGACCGTTTGACTGAAGGCTGCGATTTTTCCACAGGCTTGTCGTGCCTGTGGCGGTATCAAAGTCCCGTTACAAGGTACCGTTACACCAAGGTATAAAATTGTTTGTTCCGTGCTTTTTATCTTTCCTTATCTTCCTTTCTCCTTTTCCGCTTTTTACTTTCGTCTAAAATTTTTACATTGCGAAAATATTTTAAACGCCCTAATTTACCCCTTTCTTAGGGTGTAACCGAATCACTCTATTCTTAAAAGCAAGGAAATTATTTTCCACTATAATCCTGCACCGTCGATATCAATGTACGAAGAAGATCTGCGGTTATGATTGGTTGTGTATTATTACCAATAATTTAGAAGGATATATTAAAGGAAACTTCTCACTTATTCAATTATACGAACTGAATGCATTGTAATCTGACCAAAAAGGAAGGAATCAATCGTGTCCGAAGGAGTCGCACTTAACGGCGGTAGTTGCTGTGCTCAAATCCTTTGGATGAAGCAACAACTCGTGGACTATGGCCTTAGTATTAATCACGTCCCTCTTCGTTGTGATAATACTAGCGCCATAAGCTTGACGAAGAACCCCGTTCTTCACTCAAGGACAAAACACATTGACATTAGGCATCATTTCATTAGAGATCATGTTCTCAAAGGTGATGTCAAAATTGAGTTTGTTGAAACACACAATCAATTAGCCGACATTTTCACAAAACCTTTAGAGAAAGAGTTGTTCTTCCGCATTCGAAGTGAACTCGGAATCCTTGACTCCACGATGATCTAAGTTGTGCATCTAAACTTTTTACACATTTACTAACTTGAGCATCGGGGAACTTTTCCTTTTTTTGCAGGTACCCCGTTCATGAAATCAGGGGGAACCATGAAAACAGCGCTGTCCAGGAGACACAACAGCGCTGTTGAGGGAAACACCGTCAACCAGAAAGTTTTCCAACAGCGCTGTCCGTAAAGCCAACAGCGCTGTTCCAGGGAGTCCCTTACATCTTTACTTTCCAGAAACTTTTTCAACATCGCTGTCTCCTTTCCAGCATCGCTGTTTTCCAAAACACCCTGTCTTCACGCCAAACCAGAAACTTTTTCAACAGCGATGTCCGTTGAGCAACAGCGCTGTCCAATTTTACAAATTTTTCTCTCCTATCGTAAACCAGCGATGTAGAGAAATCCAACAGCGCTGTTCCTATATATATTTGGCCTCCTACTTACCTTCTTCTCACATCTAAACTCAATCTTCTTCAATCTCCTTGCATATATTATCCTCTCTAACATTCTTTTTGAGATTTCTTCATCACCATGGGCAAAGATAAGAATAGGGCAGGAGCTTCCGGCAAATCCAAAGCCAAATCCCGGGCACCGGTAACCAATCCCGAGGATCGCCTCGACTACGGCGATGGGTCGTATCTTTGGTTCGATTCCGAGGAGGAGCGCACCCGTTTTCTCACCTTCTTCTCTAAACGGGTTGTGGCTCCCCCACGAATCATCCCGGAGCGTTACCCGGAGTTGCAGGGCTACGACGAACTCGACACGCAGCTTCATCAAGCCGGCCTTTGGCCGTTCGTCTCTCGGGCACGCAAGGAGATCAACCCGGCACTGATCCGGGCCTTCTACTCCAACCTCCGGCGTGAGGACGACGTGCTCTACTCGCTCGTCAAGAGCACGCCGATCGAGCTCACCGTGGAGGAGCTTGGGCGCATCGCCGGCCTCCCCTTCCAAGGCGACGATGTGTCTCACTATGGTGGAGAGGATTGGGTGCTCAACAACGAGGGCCTTATCCTCAACGAGCTTGGCATCACCGAGCTCAAACGCCATGCCTCGGGCCGCCCAACCATCCACTCCGCCAAACCCGAAGGCCGCCTCGTCCTCTACATCGTCACCCGAATCATCAAACCCAGGAAGCACGGCCACACCATCATGCACGGTGAAGACCTCAAGCTTATCCATGCGATCATGCATTCGGCCCCAATCAATTGGGCAAAGTTTGTCATGATCAACATGACGATTGCCGCGTCCACCGAGCACGACCACCTCCTCCCGTACCCGTTTTTGGTGATGGGCATCCTTGAACGGTTCAAGTTAACCACAACCATTGGCCCGCTCATGAAGGCCACGAAGCTTTGGACAATCAGCAACCAAACCTTCATCAAGCGGTCGGACAAGGCCGCGACTGCCACTGCCACTGCCGCGCCACGCCACACTGCCACTGCCGCTGGCCCAGCCGAACCCCTGGCACGGGCCAACCTCGGCTCCATCGCCGACTCCCTCAACCGGCTCCACCTCAAAGTTGATGGGATGGGAAGCTACCTCGAACGGCTCGACGTGGCTGTTCAACGCCAAGGATACGCAATGAACTCGTACTTCCAAGGCATCAACTACGTCCCCCCACCGTACCACGGCACGTTCTTTGGGCAAGTGTACGGTGACGAAGACGAAGCCGATGACTCCTACGCCCCGTCAAGCTCCCCGGATGAAGACGAGTTCGACGATGCCATCGATGGGGATGAGATGGACGTCGACGACGACGAAGAGGAAACCGAAGACGAAAACTAGAACTCTCCTAGAATTTCTATCTCTTTTACCTTAATTATCCTGTTTTTTAATGCTTATGTTGCTTACATATTCTGAATGTTATATGTAAACGTACAAATAAATTCCAAAGTTTTACCGATAACAATCCAAAAAAAAAAATAACTAATTGAAATTTATATTCTCGACCAAACACTAATGTTGATTCGTGAGGGGTAGTGGAAAAAATGTCAAAAGTTTTTGTTTTTTTTAAGTGGCAATTCTTAGGTTAAAAAGGCATGACATGAGTTACACGTATATGATTTGTTGTTGACAAGAATATATATATATATATATATATATTCAAAATAAAAAAATAGTAATAAATAATTATGACAAGAGGTAAATACGAGACTCTAATAAATTTATTCTAGTTTATTGTGACTTAGAGATCGATTTATTTATTTATAAGGGCTCTTATTTGTTGGAACACGGGTTTACGCCTACGCCGTACTAAACTGTGTTCGTTTTTATGACAGGTTTTGATAATGCCAAACCGCCGCGACATATCAAAGCTAAAGTGAGCAAAACTAAGGCGAAGGAACATGGCATGACGCTTTGAGAATCAAGAACTCAGAACCAAGAACGAAGAATTAGAATTGTAATGAGTCGGTCTTAATGTGATCAAGACCGGCACAAAATTATATTCCAAATCTTGGCTCTCTAGGCTCAATTCATAAAAATCTCTTTTACATGTTCAAAAATATTTTTCTTAAGTTTAAACTTAAGAAAATATTATTATTATTACTATTACTATTATTATTATATTTATTATTATTATTATTATAATTCTTAAAAATGAAAAAGCATAAACTTTAGAAACAAGTTAAATTGAAAAGTGAGAAAGTAATCCTTAATTATTAGACGTCGTAAAAATTATTTTTAAAATACATTGACAATGTCAATCTAATTCTACTTTCAAAATACATTTTTATTGATACGTGTAATTTGACTTTCTAAAGTTTTAATCTTTTATAAGGATGAGATATTTTGATAAAAATATAATCTCTTCTTTATTATAATTATCTAAATTTAATTACTTTTTAATGTATATATAAATTAAATATTTATTCTAATTATATATGAAGTAATTATTAAAATATTATTTTAATATTCTAATTTCACAAAAAAAATATAATCATAAAGCAAAAAAAAATANTTTATTTTATTAGAACATAATCATCAAATAAAAAATATTGATTATATTATAATATCAATTATCATTACAATTTTCAAACGTTATTATAGAGTCAAATAAAATTATTGATTAGAATTTTAAATCAAATCATAATTAATCATATCCAATCAGATCAGATTATAAACGGATCGGATATACGGATAAACAGTTACTTAAACGGATGTGTAAGCGAAGCGGATTATAAGCGGATCAGATGTATGATTACCAAATCCGTATCCGTTCAACGGATGCAGACATTTTCCGATACGAATGCGTACGCCCACTGCCGGACGGTAATCGAATCTTCGGTTATCCAGCACTACCCGAACCATGGAGTAAGTAAAGAAATTCACTGTTTTACATCTTCTTAATTACCCACTTTTGGCGGCTCCCTCCCGAACCGAAAAGCTTAGCGGTGCTATCCATCTATCTATCTATTCGGTCTCTTTTCGAATTTTTTCTTCTCGGATGGATTTCAGACGACCCTACTCAGCTTCCGGCGGCTCTTTGCCCTAATCCATCTTTCATCCTTAATTAATCTTAGGTGAGCTTCCGGATTTTTATGTTCTTTGCCCTAATCCATCTTTCATCGTTGCAAGAACAAAGCCTACCAACCTCACAATACTTGTCCAAAGGTCGAGGAGATAGTCCTTCAACCGCCGAGAAGCTGTCCAAAGGCCGAGGAGATAGTGCTCTCAGCTTGAATTTCGTAATTTCTTACTGACAGGTACTGAGATTTACTCCGTAATTTTTAAGACCATTTTTTTCCGAATTTCTTAACTTACTTTCTTGAATTAATTCTATTTGGTTGTCTACTTTGAATTTGGTACTGTTAGTGTGTCAAGTTCTTGAGTTAGATAGTTTATTCAATTTCACTTAATTCCAAAACGTTAAGTCCATTTTGGTTCCTGACCATTTTTTTTTCGAATTTCTTCTAGAGTACATTTTTTTTTGTTATTTGAAACCTGTAAGGGCTGGTAATTTTTTTCAGATTTTTTAGAGTACATTTCTCAAGGTTGGGTTTCTGGCAAATGTTTTGCCTTGTATTTTGTTACAATTTTGAGATAATCTCGGGACATCAGTCACTAAGGGCATGTTTGGGATGGCTGGAAAGAAGTAAAAATAGAAGCTTTGAACGCCCTAAAATGGATAATACAGGTTGAAGGCTAAAGGGCTGCTGCTTTCCCCCTCCCCCTCTTTTTGCAAACTGTTTTTCTACTTCTTCTAAGGCAAAAAGGTTTTTGACACAGCAACTTTTATATGCTTTTTGCTTACCTCTTCTAGTTAAAGAAACTAAATGGGCATTCTGCTTTGAATCTGTGTATGCAGTTTTGCAGCTCTGTTACAACATGTTAAATGGGAACATTCCAACTAAGCTCGGATCTCTCAAGAACCCCACTGTTCCTGCTGTTGGAAATTTATTGGATAATATGGTTTTAGTGTTCAACATATTCCTTACTAATATTATTTCAATTAGGTGTTTTGAGGTTGTATTGAAATCGTAATTAAGGATGAATATTATGGGCAAGTTTTGTTTGATGTCCATAATGAATTTACCAAGGATAATTTTGGTTAAAAGGCATACGGTGCACTATTGAATTTGGGTTCATAATTCAATGGCTAGAGGCACATGTTAGCAAAAGGTTAGGATGATTGAATCAAGATCTTAAGAGAGTAAGAGACTGAATGAAGGTTTCCAGTACACAAACAACTTGGCTTTATGTGGAATAGGTTTTTCTTCCTTAAAACCATGCTCCTGTTCTGCTTGCAAATTGAAAGTTCCCTGCAAGCTGTTTCATATACATTGTTCTCTTTGAAAAAATGAAGTTTGTTTGTCTTTCTGAATTCTTGCAACTCTTTGAGAGTTGGACTTTTGAAATCCTAAAAACAGGAAAATGATGTTCAGCTAATTAAGGAGAGGCTTGTAGATGGATATGAAATAACTTTTGGACATATCTAACTCAAGGGTATTCTGGTACCGCTATAATTTCAAGGGGAACTCTTTTTTGTTTTCAAATCTTTTTCCATAGAATTTAATATTTGCATGTCCTGGGCTGCAACTTTTATTTTCTCCGCTTAAAATGATCTCCCTAAGACATGTTTTCTGTGTTATTATATCCGCCTCATTTCTAATTGTGAATGCATGCATGATTTATTCACCAACAACTACTATTTAACCCACCATTACTTTGCAATATATATAATTACTACCAAGTAACATATGCCTTCTTATTTTCTAAATTTCCTGCCCAATAACTTGCACCTTTGGCATCGCAGGTCATGATTCAGAAGGTGTTTGGTAGCTTTTATCTGTTGGGAGCAGAGAAGTAGGGTTCTCACTATAACCAGTAATTGGTACTTGCTAGATTATTTTTTTTTCTAAGTCTATATGTTGTTCAAAGTAAATGTTCTGCCTTCATACCTTCTCCTTGCTGTCTTTTTAGTTGACAAAATAAGACATCTCATTTTTTCACTGACAGTAAGTGTAGACAATAATTTCTTGTTCAATAAATTTGTTTACAATTTTGGCGATGGTAATCTTCTGTTCATATACTTGTGATGTTTTACAGGAGTTCGAAAAGTGAAAGGCTGTTATTTTATGTGGTGATATGAAATGTGCTCATGAGGAGATTGACATCTTCAATTCCTGGAACAGAATTTTATTCTATCTTCAGTGTTGTTGGACTTTTAAGTTGGTAAGGTTAAATAATTTTACCCATAATAGCGCTTGGAGAAAATGTGCATGATTACCTCGAGCAGCAGTACATCATATGTACGTTATGATATCATGCAAGAGCCGATATATGAAGGCTTTTTATAGAAAAACGAGTAGAAGTTGTGAAGTAATGTGATATGAAAAACAGACCCAAACACCCCTTTTTATAGTAGAAAAATAGGCTCCAACGGACCAAATTATTTAAGGGGTGATTTGCACAAATTGTGGGATTTGATAAAATTTGGATCTGCTAAAATTCACCTAGACAGTGCTGTTCTATACTTGGACATCGCTGTTCTAGGCTTGCGTTTTGAAAAATGGAAAGCAACGGTCATGCCAACAGCGATGTCCAAAACCCCTACATCGCTGTTTTGGCTGTTGACTTCCAAACAAGGAAAGTTTTAGCCTTAAATTCCTTCCAACGGTCAGGTCTCTACATCGATGTTCCATACTAGAACATCGCTGTTTCGGTCTGCCTTTGAAGATGGAAATTTTGGCCTGACAGCGCTGTTGCTGGGTCAACATCGCTGTCCAAAAACTTTCTGCCAATGCACTATATTTTTGGCTTAGGTTGGACAGCGCTGTAGGGGAGCCTACATCGCTGTTCCAGAAGTTTCTGGGGATCCAACCTTGGCGCAACAGCGATGTCTAATGTCCAACATCGCTGGGTTTTATAGCTTCCAACATATCATTTTTAGACTTAAAATATACATAACGGTTGACCGTTGGTTCGAACGGCCGACTTTACCATTTTGGAAAAATTCTCGTCGCAAGGTACATGGATACGGTACGTTGGTACCGTGACAGGGTATCTTGGTACCGTATAAACGGTATGTAGCTACCTTATACGCGCAAGAGAGACACAGTCACTATTCATCTTGTTCAACCTTCGACCCAATTTCTCAAAACACCTTTTAAGCTTCTAATCTATAAAATAAGTCCATAAAAATGTTTTATAACGTCCATAGATCATTCACAGACAATTTATTTTAAGCTTTAACAACAAAACAATTTTGGGGATTATGAATATCAAAATATTTATATTTTTAACAACTATCTATCACAATTTTGGGGAAGACCATAGGTAGTCATAAGCTTAAATATATCACATTTGATGTTAATTTTTTAACAACTATGTACTATTAAAAACTATATTCAATCTTTAATTGGTTAAGCGGTATCCGTCTAGATTGTACGCTGTGGACTCATCATATTGATAAAGTGATCAAAGGACTCAATGAAGAATTG